TTCGCATTTTTGGACACCATGCTTTCTAACAAATCTCATTAACAAAAAAGCACCAAGGATAAACAACTTGTTTCTGAAAAATTAAAGAGAGAGTAAAATTCCAAATTAAAAAGAAAGAAAAGTATCATTGCACTTTGTTTCTGATCACTCCCTTTGAAGAGTCTGTGTTTCTTAGAGGGCTTCAGTCTCAAACACAGTTTTGTTTAACTGGTTTTGATTCATGAGACCAAGTCAAAAATTTTCCAATTAATAACCTTGTGAAACGATGTCAGAAATCATTATTTTATCAAAGTATAAAAAACGTGAATAAAATATCAATCTGAAACATAAAAGTCAGCTAATTCCAGCATAACTTTCCAATACTTCTCTGACTTTAATGTCAATTTTATGTACAACTGCTTATTTCACATTCTTGATAAAATATCAGAAAGCATAGAAACCTTTCATACAATATCCCTTTAAAGAAAAATATGGTAAAATATCCTTTTAAAAAATGTTCAACTTTATCAAAACTAGAACAAACCACTGGAGAGTACTAGTATACAAAATGATTAATGAATGTGGTTTTGTTTTTGCCTTTTTCACAAAATAAATTGCTTCATGTTTTAGAAGACAGTACTATAAAGATAGCTGGTAACAAAAGGGAATTATCAGAGCTTCCTAAAATAGGAAGAGATGAAACAAAAGATCTAATCGAACAAGAAAAAAATAGCTTAACTGGCCAAAGAAACTGACTCAGTTTGACAAATACTGTTAGAACTTTCATAAATGACTTCTGAACATTTTGCAGTCAGGGAAGAGTGAACGTATGACGGAGATAAGATGAATGGGCTTAAAGTAAACAGAAAACAGACTCTGAATACAGCAGACGCAAACAAAAAAAGCAACTACATTAGAAATGAGGGGCTCTGCCCCTCAGTGATTTCACACCTCTGCAGGTTAAAGAAAACCACACAGTCTTTCTGTGAAGTTCAGTGCTGACAATCACATTGGTGTTTAGCACCATCTTATATTACCTTTGGGTACAAAAAACGCTTTATACATCCCCTCCCTGTCAATGAATATGAGAATCTGAAATTAATTCAGGTAAAAACCTTGTACTGCACACCTTTCTTCCCATCCCCAGTAAAACGCATGGTTAAGGTAGCTATGAAAAGCTGCTCATGCACACCTGGCTTTCCTTTGCTGTTCTCTTTTCCAGCTGAGTTGAAAAGCAGATCTCCACACTTCTGACACAGTAAGAGGCCCCAAAACAAACGGTATACAAGGGAAGGATGCAGTACCTATTATCCCCTCTATGATACTGTATTAGTGTGTTTCACCTGGGTGCCAGAAACCATATATCTGTTTGAAAATTAAAGAAAGACTTAAAACTTTTAGAGACGAAGAACAATTTTAGTAGTGAGCTATCCTTCCACATACGGTGATCATGTTATATGACTATGTCTACAGACAGTGAAAGGAACTGAACAGAAGTACTTACAGAGGACTCGAGAGGCTGCTGCATTCTAAAATGTGAAAAGATTATACAAAGGGCCTCTTTCTTAGTTTATGTGACTTATTAATCTACAAGCTGGGATACAAGGGGAAATGGTTGTTAAAATCCTAGCATGTTTTACATAAGAAACCCAGACTATGATATCTAAGAATGTACAAAAATTACCTTTTTCACAGTTTTATCTGGTTCAAGAGCAATATCTGGAATGTTTGCATCAACCATCAGGGAAAACAAGTTCAAAATCAGATTTGAATACCTAAAGAAAAGCAAGAAAGAAAAACACAGAAATGAGTTAGAATTCAGCATTTCTTTCTATTATCAAGAATACTTTTTGCCAGGCATGGTGGCACATACGTCTCACTAGGGACTGCCTCACAAGTTCAAGGCTACATGGTGAGTTCAAGGCCAACTTGAACTACACAGGGACTCAAGGCCCGCCTGCGCTATGTAGTGAACTACATAGTGAGATCCTCTTTCAAAAAGCAAAACAAAATAACCCCACAATTCTACAAGCAGTAACACTTGGATTTTTCTAATGAATACCAACTACTCCTTCAAAAGAAAATAATCTGAGACTGTTCAGTAGGTTTTTCAATGAAAACCTTGAAAAAATACCATATTCTGAGACTTTCATATAACACTATATCTAGATCCCTTACCATGGACAAACTTTTGAAGTATACATCTAAAAATGACAGTCTTCTTCACTGTTTACGAAGTACCTTCCAGACAGGATCAGAGAACTATCCAGTTTCTACTTAATAAGCATCTTATAATATTGAAGATCCACCTTTGTTAGATAAGGACAAACAGGGACTTCCCTTAGACTATTTGATCACATCATGATTAAATGAATGAAAGGGAGACAGTACAGCCTATGGGACAAGCATGAGCATACTCCTGGGATGCTATGCATGGTTTTAGGAGTTATAGTAACTGGTCTGGATATGAGCAACCCAAAATGAAGGAAAAAACTTTAATATAGTAGCCTACCATATTAAAATTGGCCAAGACATCTAAATAATGATGGCTCTGCTGGTCTCTAACAGGGAGTAACGGTTTAGGTTCACTAATCCTCAAAGTCATCTTTTTCCCTCAAACAAGGAGAAAGAGTGTTCTTATTTCAAGTGTACACTACATGTGTCGAAACAGGAAAATGAGCTTACACTGGACCGATACCACTTCATTCGCCCTAGGAGTTATGCTCTGGGTGGCCCTTTCTTGGCACAATTATGATAAAATAATTGAGGCTTGACTTTGGGAATGGATGTAAGGTCAGGAAGCTTTGGTTTTAGACAGTGACTGTTTTTTAGCCAACTTCACAGAAAGTGTCAGCACAAGCGCCGTCTCCTCCAGGGGACACAGGTATACACTAGTAATGCATCACCTTTACTCTGCACATTTCCTATCTATAATTTTTAAAATGCACAAACTGTTACTTAAAAGCTGTTTAATACTGACAGAATGATAATGGAATTTGTATAAAAATGACTTTATATATGAGCTTTACATGACCTATTTTATTATAAGTTTTGGATTTTATCCTCCCCATAAGTCAAGAGGGACTCTAATGAAAATCTCTAACGATGTATTCTTGTAATCAAGCTGGCCCTAGCCCATTTATACCCTTAAAGAAATAGGTATGATCATACATAAACACCTCTGGCCTACCTTTAAGTTACTAATTTCTTTGTGGGACCTGATAAATGTGTACCACAGGTGCTCCGCTTCTTTCCTTACAATTTTATTCATTCATCCAACAAGTACTTACTGAGTGCCCACTATGTACATTGTCCTAGGCACTGGAGATACAGTGGCGAGGCAAACAAACAAGGTCTCTACAAAGTGGGAAGTCATTCAACAAACTGATTAAGAATGTAATTTTGTCTGGCTGATAGAAAGATTTTAAAAAGAACATGAAAACAAATAACCCCAAAAATGAAATGAGTCAGAGATTGGTGGGCTGGGCGACAACAGGCCACCTTAAGAAGGCACAGTCTTACTCCACATGCACTCAGAAGCAACTGAGTTTGAAGAGTCCAGGGGCAAGCTCCGACGGGCATTTTTAAAAAGTTCACGCTGGGCATTTTGTGAGGAAAACAAATGGAAGTAAGGAAACCATAAAATAGATTTCCAGGCAGAAAAGAAACAATACAGAGGCCAGCAGACCACATTTTGAGGATACACTGGTTGATACTTGCAGACTCAGTGGAGACGGGGTGACAGGACAGAAGGGCTGAATGTCACCAAAGACACCGCCTAAGTAACTGACAACCTGGTTACTCAGCAAAATAAAGAAGGCTGAATGGAGGAGGAGCAGGATTCTAGACAAGGAATGAAGAATTTCACTTTAGACATATTGACTTTAAGATGCTTGCTAGGTTCTTAGTAGATATGCCAATTAGGCCACTAGATATCCTCAGAGAGGATATCAGAACTGGTTGTATGATTTTGAATCCATCAGCATTAGAATCACACTTAAAGTGACAGTATTAGATAACAATGGAAAGAAAAAACTTTAATGAGAAAGAAAGATTCAGCATCAAGCCCTATGTAAAGATAAAGAAACTTCTAGATAGTTCAGTAGGTATGTAAAAATTAAGGTAAAAGAGGGAAGAAATCAGCAAAACATTTGGTGCAGGTTATTAATTTTGCTAAAGTGAGATAACTAGCCAAGCAGGCTGGGTTAAAAGAAAGTAGTCAGTGAGGTGTGCTGTAAAGAAACGCGCAGCATCAGGGCAAGGGTGCACTGTGTAACAGCACTGCTGGCCTCTTCCACTGGAGGCCGCAGCACTGACCCAGCAGGACAACCAGGAGTTATCCAGGCGCTTCTCAGATATGCCCTAGGTGGACGAGGGACTTCACAGAAACCTCCCATTCAGAACCACTGATTTAAACCCAGTGAGAAGGACACAACTGTTGGATTTTCTTCAGTAGCATCAGCTGTTCTTCTGGACACGTGAAATAGGAAGGCAGAAAGTTCTGACCGGAGTTAAGGGTTTCCGTAGCTGAAAGTACAAGGCTGTATACAAATTGCTGAATTTAGAAGAAAGGATAAGAAGAGTGATTACAGTCTGGGGCCATAAAATTTAGTGGGGAAAATAAAGTGAGAATACGAGGCAGATTATGAATGGTGGCAAACTGACCAGGCTGTACATATCAATGAAGTAGAAGAATAAGGAAATATCTAAGAATGAGCTGAGAAACCAGGGCTGGCAGTGCACATCTATAATCCTAGCTCTTTGCAAGGCCAAGGCAGAAGGAGCCTTTGAGGTCAGGAAGACTCTGTCTTAAAAAACAAGAAAGAAAGCAACAAAACCCAGTGGTGGTGGACGTGAAGTACCCCTTAGAGTACAAAGTTTGAGACTGAGATTGAGATTTTTTTTGGGGAAAGGGGATCTACTATTATTGCTTAGAGGAGGTAGCCACGGCTGTCTCTCAGTGAGGAGCTCAAGTCCCAAAAGGCCAACACCCTGAGTATGCTGAAGTCACAGTAGCAGTCGTGAAGATGACAAAGTTCTCAGTGGGTGAGACAGATGCAGAGGTAGGGAGAAGATGGCTAGCAGTAGGGTAATGTGTCTTAACAGTGTGATCTTCAATAGAGCGGTGAGTGTGTGTGTGTGTGTATGTGTGCATGCACGCGCGCGTGAGCACACCTCTTTCTTCTTTAGAAGGCTGGCAAAGAAAGGGTCTGGAAGTGGCCATGAGAGCAACAAGTGTACCAGGCCCAGCCCATCTTGAAAATAAAGATGATCCACTTGACAGGGCTCCAAGGAATGTGGTATCAATGGATAGCCAGCTGTTACAGTTGATGTGACAGACAGATGCTTTTTGACCTGACCCTTGGCTCTGTTGACTATGGATTTCATTCCCACCTTGTCAGGGAAACCTTAAGAATCTATCATAGGATAACACAGCTAGGAGAATAAAAGACTCAATGTTGAAAGGAATATATCAGAAGTTTCAAACCTGCCTGCCTATTAGATTCACCTTGGGAACTTCTTAGACTTCAATACCTGGTCTTAATATCAGGCCAATTAAATCTGATGAGGACCTAAAGTGTCCCCTCCCACTGCCCCAGGCCCCAGGTAATCAGCAGCCAGGATCTATGTTGAAATATCTGCCTCTCTGGAAGCAGAATGTGTGTTTTTTTTATGGATATTGCTATTAATTTGCATTTTCCATTCAAGACAGAATAAATGAATTAAAATAGAAAGTCTATATTAAGTAGGGTGGTCATTTAATATCCTCCATACCAAAAAAAATTTAAAGATAACCAAAAACCTTTAAAATCAGTATGGAGAAAGAAAATAAGCTTAAGTATAAAAAATGATAGGGTGGGAAAATGTGCAAAACTGAGCCTAGCCATAGACAAACACTGTACATAGGGACATGAAAAGGAGCAGGCTTGGTACAGTGCTCATGACAAATGTACTCTCTTACCCGTATTTATACCAATCACTATGGCCACACTAGTCATGTAAAGATAGTTTAAATTTTCCAGGAAAAATCTTCAATACTGAAAAGAGAAATGAACTTAACTACATGACGTGGTATTTGCACAGTAGTCTAATTCCCCTACACTGTATTTGTCATGTAATATATTAGTTGAATCATGTAAAAACATTTATTTAGTAAGCGTTCTATCTCAAAGAAAGGAAACAAGGTAGTTAATGAAGACAGGAAGGTAACAAGAATAAATTCACTGATGTCTGAGGCTGTTTTGTCAAACATCCTCCAAGATAATATAAGAACCTTACTTGATATGGTTAAATGAATTCCTACTATTGCAGGTTTTAAGCAAAAAATACTGTATGTTTTTTATCACCAGGCTCTGTTTACACAAAGATGGAACAAGAGAAAAGGTTATGCTTCCGCTGGACCACAAAACTGCCAATGTTTCAGTGTTCCTACTGTTCCCATCAGAGTCCACGTATGACCGATTAATACAAGACGGTAATACATTACATGAAAAGCATCATACTATCAAATGTGCTCACTCATCTAACACAACTGTACCCATTCAAGACTTAGTTCAAAAGGGACTCCAAACAAACTGTGGACTATCAAGTTAATTATGTCCTAAATACAAACTGTTTACTATTTGTACTATATACTAAAAAAGTATTGATCAAAATTTTAGTCAACCTGATCTTATCCAAAATAGTGACTTTTTTTAAAAACCAAAAACTCCACAAAAATCTCCATAAAAATGTAAGACTGTTTATTTTGATTAACAGATTATTTGTAATGAAGGAATGGTAACTTGAGCTCTGTGTTCATAACCTGCTTCTTTTCTCATTTTACCGAGGTACTAGTAATCTGTTCGCAATGATTTACACAGCAGACTGCTTTCTTTCTGCTTTCACACCTCTGACGCTCTCGGCTATCACTCCCTACCTAACACCCTGCTGCCTCCTCAGCAAGACCCCCATGGTTCCTGTTCCACCTACTTTCCCATTAGCTTTGATAGTTTCATATTTAAAAATTCCAGGTAATAAAGTGGAACTCTCACCTCGCTAGAAGTACTTCTGCATCATCAAGCAAACTGAAAGAATACTGATTTTCTCACTATTCTTTTAGTATTTATTTCTGGGAAATGAAATCGAGCCACTCTGTAGCCCAAAGCATAAATAATGCGGGTGAATGCAGCTACTGCCACTAACTTGCACTTTCCACTTAAGACAGAATAACGGAACTAAAATATAAAATATATGGTACAGAGGTTGGGACACATGAAAAATTCTGAGTTTATAATAACAGTGCAAAAATGAAACTGGATTAGTAGAGGAAAGCCAGTCTTCTGGAACAAGCGACATTAACATTACCCAGAAACATGACCTCAGTGTAGTAATTCTGAGGGCTCTCATACAAATACTGAGAGACTTCATTCAATAAATATACAATGAATCTATGTTCCAAGCACTACATGAGCAACTGAGGTTACAAAGAAAAAAAGAGTCTACATGCACAGGCAATTCTATGCATTAGTTATATTTTCACCTGGAAGATAAATTTTCTGTTGGACTAAGAAACTTTATCTTCTATAGTGAGGGTGAACGTACCATTAAAGTCAAATGACCCTGTCATTTTTGACTAATCATCAGAGCCATGATTAACAAACATAATTTTTTTCCTGTCACTACATGATACTCAGTCTTAAACTGAAGGAAGCAAAGAGATAGAAGCACTGAAAAAAAAGAAGATGGAAAAAAATCAACATCTTTTCATAGTACAATGAGGGATGAGGTGTCAAAAATAAAGATAAAATTTACGTAATATTTAGATTTAAACATTAAACAAACTTCTAAAGGCTCCTGAAAAGCATCTAAAACTGAGGTTGACAAAGACACTAAAGAACAAAAATGAGCGAACTAGCATCACTGCAAATAATTTACATGCTTCATGCTTTAGAAGCCAATATGACACCTTTAATTCTGCAGGACTGCCTTCAGGAAGAGCTGAGAGGAGGGGTCATCTCCTTTCTCTCTCATAGAACTGTCCAAGGATGCAACGTGCATGTCATGAAAATGATGTCAAGCCCCTGACTTTCAGCCGCCTGCTTGCTTTCTTTTGTTATGATGCCAGCTTCCCAGCTGGTTAGCTTTTGCAATGGGATAATTAGGAAGTAGGAAGTTAAGAAATTTTATGTTTTGTTTTTTTTTTTTTTACTAAGATAAAATACAAAATGTATGTTAAGAAATACTGTCACCTGTATGCTTCAGGGAAAAAAAAGTAATGCTCGTGAATGCACACTTACGAACTATACCTTCACTTGCTCCATAAAACAAATTCACTAGAATTCTACATGGCAAGCCACTGACTCACCTTCGGAGGTGGAGAAAAGCCGTGTAACACTGCTTCCGGAACTCTTGGTACTGCTCACTCTGGGTGCCGCCCATTCCTTCTACCATTTCTTTATTCAGCTTCATCGGCGGAGGAAGAGGCTTCGGATCCCGACCCAAAATATAGCCAAAGTCTATGTGGAAGAGTTTGCCTGGATGTTGACAAGAAACTCATTTGTTTCCAGAATTATCTTTAAAAACTGGGGAGGAGATATGTAATACGATTGGTATAAGCAGTGTCTCTTCATAAAATAGATTAGTTCATAAAGAAGCCTGTTAAATCATCTGGCTCTGTTTTTCCAGGTGTGAGATTGTCCATTCAAACATGTTTTAGTTTACTTTAAGTCGTATTCAGATGAAACTAAATTTAAAATCATCCCACAGTAATACTAAATTAAAATTTCAAAACCTGTACAGTACCTAGGTCTCTAAAACCAAATTCTGGACAACTTTTGAGCAATCAGCATAAATTAAAATCTAGTGGCAAATTTATCAAGCTAATAAATTTAGGTGGACTGCATTTCACATAGAGGAAGACTATTTTTTATTTATGTATTCCTGAAGTGAGTCAATCTTTCCTTTATGGGGCTGGGGATTTAGCTCAGCAGCAAAAGCGCCTGCCTGGCAAGCGCAAGGTCGTGAGTTCGGTTCCCGGTACCGGAGGAAAACCAAAAAAAAAAAAATCTTTCCTTTATAACCACACACATACAAAAAACAAAAATGAGCAAAAGTCTAGATAGGTAGTAGTACTACTTTCATACAAGCATAAAGAAAACTATACTGTAAATTATCTGGAGTAAACAGAGTTATACCAAATTCGAGGCATAGGCTTACTCCATGAAGAGAAACAGCTTATGTGCAAATGATTATAAAAACAACTATCCAAAAGTTTATCACCTGGTTGTAGATAAGTAGCTGTTACAACATACTAACTACACAAAGAAAACCAATTTTCCCTTTATTCAAATCATCTCCTTGTCTTTTATTTTTATGTGCTTACTTTTTAACTTACAACTTACACTATGGTACCAAGTTATGGTAAAAGTGGCAAACTGGTCAAAATCTTGTGCGAACTCATTTTCTAAAAAGTGATATTTCTAGTACATTAAAGGCACATGGTAGAAGTTGGGTGTGGCAGCACAGGCCCCTAATCCCAGCACTTGGGAGCCTGAGGCAGGAGATTACTGTGAGGTTGAGGCCAGCCTGGGCTACATAAGCAAGTACAAGGCCAGCCTGCACTACACAGTGAGACCCTACTTAAAAAACAAAACAAAACAAAACAAAACATCAGGGGAGAGCACAAGTTGCATTTGTCAGATATTTGGTCACATACTTAACCAGTGACATCTTAATGCAAAGTCACTACTCAGACAACTTTTCACAGTGCTGATGCCTGGAATCTGTTATGAGAAGTTGTATTTAATTTCTTTTCCTTTCATGGTGATCTATAAAGATGAACAGAGGCCAAGTACGGAGCACCTGAATGTCACCTTGTTAGTATACTATCCTGTGATTTCAGCTTTCTGGGGTTAGTATCAAACAGCAACACTATTTTAATAAATGCTAGCTAATACTAACAGAACAGAAATAATTATGCTCCCTGATTTAACAATGGAGGTTATGACCCCATAATCTCACTGTTAACCTGAAAACAACACAAGTCAAAAATGCATTTATTGTACCTCACCTACTGTAGCTTAGCAACACAGTACACTAGAGAGGACGGATGGTTCACACTCCGGATCCCATAGCTGACTGGGAGCTATTGCTCACTGCCACCACTCTGCACAGTTAGAGTATCATACCACATGTTGCTAGCTCAGGAAAAGATCCAAATGAAAAATTTAACATGTAGTTTTTAATGACTGTGTACTATTTTTATAATACTGTAAAACAAGCCATCATTAAGAGGGAGATTTTACCTTGAATTTATATGATGATATCCTGAAAAAATAGGCATTTTAAAGTAATTTAAATTAAGAAAAGTAATTTAAGAATCTTCACAGGAGAAAAGAAAGTAAAGCACTCTAACTGGAACTTCCTCTACACTATCTGAGTCACTGTGAGTAGCAATTTGGTTACAATACTATATCACCTATTACATTAATGTTGCTGAATCAAATTCTACTCATCAATATTATAACACTGATTTAACTTCTTGTCTTAGTTACTTTTCTCTCCTTGCTGGGACAAAATACTTGACGCCCAAAACTCAGGGAAGAAAGGTATTTAGTTCAGTTTGTGGAGGTTTTAGTCCATAGTCAGCTTGGCTCCAAGGCAGGGTGGCATGGTGAGGTGCAACAGTTCAAGGCAGCAGAAGACAGCAAGAGCAACAAGAGCAAAAAGGAATGGAAGAGCAAGCATTTTTTCCTCCCTTACATTGTATGCAGGCTACTTACACCATCTCAGTGCCCTCCTCTTGCACAGGCTGAGGAAGTTTACAACAAAGGGAGGACCCTGGCCCCCTGCTGGGTCACTTAAACTTTTAAGCTGAAGTTGACACAATGAATCAACCATCACAACATACTAGGCCAGGCTATAAACAGTCATCTTAGGGCATATGCACTACACCCTAAGATGCAGAACTGCTAAGTTACTTAGTTAAGCTTCTAAATTTCTCAAGTTGACAGTATATCATTACATTTATAAATCTGTTTTACTTTTTATAGTTATATACAAGTAGATATACAATAAGTGGGTATCAAGTTTTATGCTACCCATATTTAAGACGATCAAATATGCCACCCTAGGGCAGTGATGGCGAACCTTTTAGAGACCAAGTGCCCAAACTATAATGCAATGCACTTATTTATCACAAAGTGCCAACACTGCAATTAAACCTGATTATTGAGGCTTTAGTTTAGAACAAATAACTCATACATTAATGTCTTTAGTTTTAAAATGCAGTAACAGTGCTTTCAATGATACAGTTCTTTACTGAAAAATAAAAGCCTGCATTTGGCGTGCTGTTATGACATGCTCAGGAGCTGACGCAGTGCTGGGGTGACTTGGCTCACTTGCCCACTTGAGCATCCAAGCCATAGTTTGCCACTACTTTCCTAGGGGATTTCATTTCCATTTAAATGTATCACTCATAACTGAAAAATTCCTTTGCAAGAGTTGTGGGCTTAATTCACTGGTAAAGCACACAATTAGAATGTGCAAGGTTCTGGGTTAACCTCTAGTCCTACCACCAAAAGGGAAAGAAAGGAAAAGGATAGAGAGGGAGGGGCGGGTTGAGGAGAGGAGGAGAAGGGAAATAGGGAGGGGAGAGGACAGAAGCTCTCTTTCAGAAACCCCAAATGGGCTTTAATAGTCTAAGCACAATGAAATGGAGTTTTTGAGAAATCCACATAACAGGTTCTAAAGGAAGTCTATGATTCCAAAAATATGAGAAAGTTTCAGAAAATGCAATTTAGTAACTATAGTACTCACTGCAAAGTATCATCTAATCTCTTAGGGCTCTAGCAAGTCAGGCTATTCTTTTAATTTTTCATCAGTTCCTGAAACGTCCATGATCAACTTTTGTTAAGGATTTCATGGCCTTCAACTACACATTTATTCTCTGTTCAACTACATAAGCATGTCTCTGAGTGCGCAATTCTCTTTCCAGAGTTCCCAATAATTTTCTACCTTTTTATACCATTCTTCCCTTTAAGAAGAAAAGGGATAAAAAATAATAATGATAAAACATTAGAAATGATACAGAGCTTCACTAAACAAGATGGTAGGAATTCAACAATGGTTGTTATATTGCATACTGCTGTCTTCAAATTAGTTATTCAGATTACCAGATATAAGCATGCAAAGTTGGTAAAAAAAAAAATTTAAGCATTAACTGTTCTTTATCACTGCTATCCTTGTATATACATTTATACTTTTTTCCCTTCCTTCTTTCTTTTCTCCTTTCCCTCATCCCAGTTGTTCCCTCTCTTTGAGCAATTTCTTGTTTGATCAATCTTGCATTCTTACTTCTGGTAATCTGAGCAACTTCTTTGAAGATAACAATATGTAATGTAACAACCATTGTTAATTTCTTATCATCTTGTTTGGAAATTCTGTATCATTTTCATTATTTTTGTGTTATTTTGTTTTTGTTTTTGTTGTTGTTATTTTGGGTTTTTTTCCCTTCAAACTAAAAAAAAAGGGATATAAAATGCATAGTATTACATGTGTAAGTGAACTCTTCTTAGTTTGATATACAGGGCATATGTATGTATGTATTGGTTACCTCACTATGTAGTTCAGGCTGGCCTTGAACTCACTATGTACTCCAGACTAGGTTCAAACTTACAGCAATACTCCTGCCTCAGCCTCCCAAGTGCATCACTATGTCTGGCTTATTTTATTTAATACTGTTTTGTTACTGGTATAATTCCTAATGATATCGAACACTTGAATAGATGAACCAATATGACCAGTATTTTTTAGAAAACTGCTATCACACACAATTTAATGAACAGGCACCATGCTTTTAATATGACACCTAGTCCAATCTTCTTTATTTCATTGGAAGTATTACTGGAATTCCAACATTGGCTATGCATCATTGCTTACAAATGAAGGGTATACTTCTATCCTTCTTGTAATGAAATGCCAAAAGAATGGGATTATGGCCCCATTATAAGGTAGAACAGATTTGGCATCTAACAATGAAACCATTAAATACTTTGCAAGTTCAAAGAGCCATGTACTGTGAAACGAAGCTGTTAATGTTTGAAGAAAATTCATCCTCAAACATACCAAAGAAAATGGTTTTTAGAAGTTAGTATCTATAAATGCAACCTGTACTCTATAAAATATTTTTAAAAAGCTTAATGGAAAGGGCTAGGGGTTTAGCTCAGCGGCACAGCGCCTGCCTGGCAAGCGCAAGATCGTGAGTTTGATCCCTGGAACCGGAAAAAACAAAAACAAACAAAAAAAAAAAGCTTAATGAAGAAATTCAGGAAGTATGGTCTTATTCAAATCTAGCCTCTTAAAAAGTCAAAAAGTAAAGCTTATATAAAACAAACTGATGACTATAATTACCACCCTTTTCCCCCAACTTGACAGAAATTGAGGTGTTAATTAAATGTTCCTGTTATTTGCCTCATATAAACTTATTTGTAAAACTGTAGCTCAAGACAGTTGAGGTTCCTGGATTAAAGAGAAT